GCGAGGTGGTCATGAGGAAGACCATCAGGTTGTTTTCTGAAGCACTACCCTGGCAAACCACGTGTCGTCAACTTGTTTTTCTTATGTAAGGGGTAGCTCCCTTCTCCACGTCAGGATCTTACAGCTGTTGACATCTCTCTGGGGCTGTCTGGACAGTTAGCACCAGGGCAAATGTGCAGGATAGAGCCAGGGTTGGGACCAGATGTTTCTGACTGCTTCCTTCTTCAGAAGGAACATTCTAGAACCAGGGGTACATCACCTGATGAAGGTAGCGCTGCTCCTGTTGGTGTGTGTGTGTGTGTGTGTGTGTGTGTGTGTGTGTATGTGAATCCCTAAGCCCCCTGAAACACGGTGGTCTTGGAAGACCTATTTTCCCTGGCTGTTGAATGAGGCCCTGAGAACCCTCGCAGCTTTGATGTCCAGCCTCTACTCTCTCGGTCAGGCTCGTGACTCTTCTGGGGTAGGAGTTGGATGGCCCAGAGGATGCTCAGAGGGGAAAAGAGTCCACATCAGGAAAGGTTTTCAGGAATAGTTATGGGGAAGAGATCCACTTTTCATCCGTACTTAGCTGTGTCGTGGTTGGCCATCTTTTTCTTTTTCTCCATGTTGTCATTTAGAGCTGACAGCTTCATCCTTTCAGTTCATTCACCCACCCCATAAATTCCGTCTCCTTCCTGCTCTGTTATCACTGTAATGGTTATAATTTTGCCCTGAACTTTGCTGCCTTTTGTTCCCACGATGCAAATACCACATTCCTCTCTAGAGCAAACGGGTCAGTCACACCCTTTTCCTTCCCTTTGGCTCTGCTTCCGCTTCATGGGTCCCGGGAGCAAAGATCTGCTGGTCTCCTTTGCTCTCTCACCTCCTTCTGGTAGAGAGGAACACTCCTACAGTCACTTCGTGTCTTCAGCCTACCCAGTCTCAAGGTACTTTTCTGGGTTAGTAAAGAAAGTTGCTTTCCAGATGACATACAGTAAGTTTAATTGGAGAAAATACAAAATGTCAAGGAGTAAAAATTAGCTGGTGCTAGTCGCCTTGTGCTTGTAATCCTAGCTACTCAGGAAGCTGGGATCTGAGGCTCATGGTTTGAAGTCAGCACAGGCAGACACATCTGTGAAACTCTTATCTCCAATTAACCAGAAAAAAAACAGAAGTGGAGGTGTGGCTCAAGTGATACAGCACCAGCCTTGAGCAATAAAACCAAGTCAGAGTGTAAAGCCTTTGGTTCTAGCTTCAGTACTGGCATGCACACGTACACACATGTACACACACACACACACACACACACACACACACACACACACACACCCCACAGCACTCACAATCCCACTCCCCACAGAGCAATCATGGTCAACATGTTGATGTGCCTGCTCTGTGTGTCTTGAGTAATTGCTGTCATGTGTTTCCACTCCAGTGACAGATGGCAGACCGTCCCTGTGACTCGGATTGTGCTACCAACCACGGCTGTGCCACCTGCATCCGGAAGCTGAGTCAGGAATCTCACAGTCAAGACTACAGGGTTCACAGGAGACCCCAAGCTCTAAAGTCAGGGCTCTGCCTCCTGCTTCTCTCCTTCTCATATTAAACGCACCTTTCCCACATCATTATAACCTACCTGCGTCATGACTCCCTCGCTTCTTCCCTTCCTGTTGATGGAGACCTACAGCACTCCCAGCTTTCCCTCTGAGCAGTAATTCAACAGTGAACAGCTTCTAAGTGGCACTTTTCATGTTTCTAACTCCTTAATTTAGATTCTCCACTCAGTAACTTATCTGCTTGCTCCTTCCTTCCTCCCTTCCTCCCTTCTTCCCCTTCCTCCCTTCTTCCCTCCCTTCCTCCTTCCTTTCCTTCCTTCCTTCCTTCTTTCCTTCCTCCCTCCCTCCCTCCCTCCCTCTCTTCCTCCTTCCCTCCCTCTCTTCCTTCCTTCCTTCTTCCCTCCCTCTCTTCCTTCCTTCCTTCCTTCTTTCCTTCCTTCCTTTTCTTCCTTCCTTCTTCTTCCTTCATCATGGGGCTCAAACTCAGGGCCTGGGTGATGTCCCTGAGCTTTTTTTTACTCAAGGCTAGTGCTCTATCACTTTGAGTTGGAGATAAGAGTCTCACAGACTTTCCTGCCCAGGCTGGCTTCAAACCAGGATCCTCAGATCAGCCTCCTGTAGCTAGGATTATTCACGTGAGTCACTAGAGCCTAGCTTGCTTGCTACTTGGTTGCCAAACGGTTTTGCAGAACTAAAGCAATTGTTTCCCCCATCCCCACAACTTCCTTGGATGTCCCGCCAGCCTCTTCCAGATGTCCAGTCCTCTCACTGGAATCCTCCCTTTTGGTGATTCCCTGTGGAACTCTTGCCATTTTGATTACAAGTGAGGTTAGTGCTTTTAATGTTCAGATTTGCACTTCGCTGTCTGCTGGGTTTGGATTCTAAGCCAAGAACTCTTCCATTTTCCAAGAGGGTTAGGGACCACACACTGGGAGGCATGCTGCTTTTCTTTCCGTGACACTGAACGTGTGCTCTGACTGTTTCTCCTTTTTCCAGCCAGGGTTTTCCGTTCCCCTCTCCCTTGAGGGTACCCACCCTTTCCCGAGGCTTTCCTCAGGATCTTCTCTTCTCACTCTGCAGTGAGAATATTTTCCCTTGGGTCTTCAATTTCGTCTTCCAAAAGTCCAGCTTCTTTTACACCAGAATCTTAAATGTTGAAGGAATGTGTCTAGAGCATCCTAAACCCAGCTGGGTGCTGGTAGCTCACACCTATAGTCCTAGCTACTCAGGAGGCTGAGATGTGAGGATTGAGGGTGGAAGCCAGCCTGAGCAGAAAAGTTTGTGAGACTCTTAGCTCCACGTAGCTAGCAAAAAGAAGCTGGAAGAGGAGGCCTGGCCCATGTGGTAGAGTGCCATGAGTGAAAAAGCTCTAAGGGAGAGCATGCTGGCCCTGAGCTTAAGCCCCAGCACACACACACACACACACACACACACACACACAGCCCTGTCTGCCTGCAGTAAATGCTGTAGAAGGTGTCTAAATGAATGTTAGGGCTCTGGAAAAGCAGCTGGCCTCAGAGAATGGATTAGAAACGAAAACCTTCCTTTAGGAAGCCTTGAAATGTCGGCACAGGGCTGCTGTCCATGTATCTTCCATGGCTTTTCCATTCCTCATTTGGTGGAAATGTGATTCCAAAGCAAAAGCACACTTTTTTCCTTTGCAAGGCAAAGGCAAAGGCAGAGTTCAGTGTGAGGCGATGAAATCACTCTCTGGCCGCCGGGGCTCTACTTAGAAGCAATTTGCTGTATGGCAGTCATGGTGAATACCGTGCAAGATTGATCTGTGGTTTTACCATAATGTATGTAAAGTACCAATTAATACTCCAGGCATCTCTTTGAAATGCCCTGGGAGAGAAGTAAAAGAAGCACGCACGGCTTTAAACAGTTTGGGCTGCTCCTTCTGGGCGGCTTCTAACTAGATGTCCAGACGCCGTGGCGCAGGGGCGTTTGGAGCCGGCCGGGGGAGCTTGGTCTGGATGGAGGGCTGGGGTGTGGGCTGAGCGCTCAGCAGCAGAGCCTGGCGGGGACTGAGCTGCCCTGGGATTGAGTTCTGCGTCAGAAGCCACAGGAAGCAATGTGGAAATGGTTTCCAAATGGAAGGAGAGTTTGTGGTGGGGGATGGGAGTGGGAGTGTAGAGTCCCACGAATGACTTACCCAGTAGATGTGCCTATGGATTTCATCTGTTCCAGGCCCTCTCTGCCCAGCAGAGAGCAAGACAGACACAGGCTTGCACGCAGCACGCTCCCAGAGGCCAGGCAGCTCATTAAACAAGGGCTGACAGGAACAGCATGGTACAGGGTAGAAGCCTGGGCATGGTGACGTGTCTCCCCGAAGAAAGACTGTGCACCCAGAGCCTGGGAGGTGACGGATGGAGAGGGGTCTGGGGAACAGAGCTCCAGACGGAGCTGGGGGGGGTGGTTTGGGGTTGGTCTGGGATGGTTCTCTGGTAGGGCTACCGATGGGAAATGTGGAGGGGGTGATGGAGGAGGAGGGGGAGGTGAGTCTCAGACCGAGGAAAGGCCTGGATGGAAATTGTGGGCAGTTGCAGAGTCTCTGAGTCTGGGAGACAGGAGGGGAAGGGAGCATGGTGGAGCGAGGGGGGCGACGATGGGCGGGGACATCTCCATCTCTTTGGTCCCTGGCAGGTGGCTCTGCTGACAGCTCCCTGACCCGCACACCTGCTGTAGAGTTGCCAGCATTCAAGGCTGCTTTCCCCCTTGGCTCCACTGGGTCAGAGCTAAGCTTCCTCTTTCTCTCCTGCCAGGATTTCCGTTCAATATGGGACACTAGCTCTTCCCAGTTCCTGGGCTCAGTGCGAAGCCGACGGGACCCCCAGACAGGAGGCACAGTCTGCTCGTGGAGCTCTCAGTTATCCTCTGGCCCTGTGAACCGGGCCGTGTGGGGGGGGTGGCCGCATCCAGCTGGGAGGGGCCAGGGAAGAAAAGCTGAACACCGAAGTGAAGGATTGACTCCCACCCTGTTTCCCAGGTGCATACAGATACCAGGCAAGCCAGCAAAGAGGAGTGCAGACTGCCCGACTCCAGCAGGGCGATCTCTCTAAGCGGCTGTAAACATTCCATCTTGGGCCCAACTGAAACCCCCCCCCCATTTCCCTTGACATAGTGGCTTCTTCATTAGCCTCTGCCTCCTCGCTCAGACCTCCTATAGACCCAGCTCCTGTCCCAGCTCTACACACAGTCTCCAAGCCCATGGGAAGGCTCTATCTCAATAAACAGTCACTGTCTGTGGAAGATCAAGTCCGGCCTGTCTCCTTCCTTTCTCCTCCATTTTCTTAACACAAAGTGCCATGAGTTCCTGTGGCAGAAGAGATCCAGGGGCAGGGGTGCAGTCACCCCGGAGGATGCTGTGCTTGGCAGGGAGGAGAGGTTGGGGAGGGGCATGGGGCTGAGCATTGAGGGGCGCCCCTTTGCTGGTTCTAACACACACTTCCTTTCTCAGACAAGATGTCTTTCGAGGGAGCCAGGCTCAGCATGAGGAGCCGGAGGAACGGCGCATTGGGCAGCACGCGGACTCTCTACTCCAGCGTATCTCGGAGCACAGACGTGTCCTACAATGAGAGTGTAAGTCGAGCGTGTCTGTCGCTGGACACAGACACTTTGCAGTTAGGATAATTTTTTTCTGGCCCATCTGCCTTCTTTGAAAAGCTAATGCCTCCTTATTCTGCATAGCATTTTGTTTTGTGGCTTTTGTTTTTGTCCAACAAAGAATCCTTCCATTTCCATGTTGTGTCCAAGCATTTCTATGGCAGGCACTTCATTTCTGTTTCTTTTCTTTTCTTTTTCTTTTTTTGTTGGTTGTGGGGCCTGCACTTTGGGCCTGGGTGCTGTCCCTCAGCTCTTCAGCTCAAGGCTAGTGCTCTACCACTTGAGCTACAGCGCCACTTCTGGCTTTTTCTGCTTATGTGGTGCTGAGAAATCGAACTCAGGGCCTCATGCATGCAAGGCAAGCGCTCTACCAGTGAGCCACCTTCCCAGCCCCTCATTTCTGTTTCTTAATAAGTCCTTATCTCATTCCTTTGCTGATAACGTTTCAGAGAATTGAATCACTAGTCATGGAATCAAGACAATGCTTCAGAGTGACATCCGGGTCTCTCTGACTATAGGGTTAAAAGTCAGGAAAGCTGCTAAACACTGGTGGCTCATGTGATCCTAGCTACTCAGGAGGCTGAGACCTGAGGATCATGGTTCAAAGCCAGCCTGGGTAGGAAAGTCCATGAGGCTCCTACCTCCAATAAACTAGTAAAAAATATTGCCTGAAGTGGAACTGTGGCTCAAGTGGTAGAGCACTAGCCTTGTGTACAAAGAAGCTCAGGGACAGCTCTGAGTTCAAGCCTCAGAAATCATGCACATGCACGCACGCACATGCACGCACACACACAGAGTCAGGAAAACAGCTAGCTTTGCAAAGAACGGGAAGGCTGGGGAAGGAGCTGGAATGCAGCGTGCAGAGGTTAGTGCTGACCATGTCAGAATTTTGATCTGATTGGTGGGTTACTTTGTGCTATACCACTGAACTGTAAGAAGCTCACACGCATGTGTGTGCGCGTGCGCACACACACACACACACACACACACACACACACACACATTATCAGGTAAAAACGGCTCCCAAGAGAACAGCAGAATTCTCTTATTGTTGTACTTGGTCCCATTTTAAAAATCAGCTCTCCCAATCTGGAAAGATGCCCCTGCACAGTAGCTCATTAAATGCAGCTGTGGCAGAGCAGGGGAACTGCTGTGGGCCACGGAGCAGGGGTGCACATTGTCCCACAGACATGACAGCACTGTAGGATGTCTAGAATACTAGAGGAGACAGTTAAGCAGCCATTGTCCGAGGCTTGATTCTACTTTTCTAGCAGAGGCCCAAAGGCTGGCACTGTACAGCTTTGTAAAGAAATGGCCTTTCTTAGGATTCCACGTAGTTAATGGCATGGTTCTTCATAAATAAGCTAAAATCCACGTTTTTAAAAGCCAAGGAAGCGGGCTGGGAAGGTGGCTCAATGGTATAGTGCTTGCCTTGCATGCATGAGGCCCTGGGTTTGATTCCTCAGCACCTCAGCAGAAAAAGCCAGAAGTGGCCCTGTGGCTTAAGTGGTAGAGCGCTAGCCTTGAGCTGAAGAGCTGAGGGACAGTGCCCAGGCCCAGAGTTCAGGCCACATAACCGACAAAAACAAACAAACAAACAGACAAAAAACCAAGGATGCAAAAGCAACCAAACCAAACAAAGCCCCAGCCACTGGATTTACAGAATGGAAGCACAACACAGCCTAGGTCAGGCCTTGGACAGCCTGCCGTGTATGGATGGCAAGGGCTCTGGAGACATCTCCTTATTTAAGGGCAGTTTGTGGTTTAGAAAGGCTTCGATCATCAAAGTAAGTTCCTAGAGGTGCCCAACTACTTTGCTGTTGATGAGATGAATGCAATTATGAAAAGTGTCTTTGTAATGTCTTATAATTATAAAAATATACAAATAGTGTGTTATATTCTCTGACATCTATCTTCTCCCTGTTGGATTGAGAGTCAGAAAAATGCATGTGTGTAATGCCATTGATGAACAAGATAACTCTATGTAGCTCTTGCATAAACTCGCACTTAGTTATGCAATTTAAATGTATACCTCTTTTAAAAAGTCATGTACACTAAAGGTATAAAGAGGTGCAGGATGTTATGAGCACCACTAAATAACGTCAACCTTTGAAGCAGGGTTAGGATATACTAGCTGTTTCCTGAAATCAACAGGAGATGAGAATAAGCGAGTAATGTGTTACCATGCTCTCTCCCCAAAGGACTTGGTCAATTTCATTCAAGCAAATTTTAAGAAACGGGAATGTGTCTTCTTCACCAAAGATTCCAAGGCCACGTAAGCTACCGTTTTGGCTTTTGCGTTTAAACATAAGTCATCATTGTGACACATAGACATGCTCATTATGAAAGCTGTTGTCATCCTTCCCAGAAATGGTATGTCATCCAGACAGACTTGGCAAATGGCTGGTCATTGTTCCCTGGCTATGTCATTTCCTGTATACTTTTAGCTCTGGCAATATGGCAGAGTTGGTTCAGCCGTCAGTCCATCAGTCTGGGCGCTGGCTTGATGACTTTAGTAATGAATGAAGCTTTCTAGTAGTAGCTAGGCAATGCCAAGCACGTGGCACATAAGCAAATCACTGGCTCTTCTGGGCCTCTTCTTCCTCGCTGGGTCTTTGGGCCTTCTCTTTTAATTGGCCATTCATTGGCTGTGTGTCTTGTGTGGGAACATGGAGTTTGGGTTACACATCTGACACACAGGAGATACTCAACAAAATGACTGGGTGAGTGAGTGGATCCTGCTGGCTGTTCTTGTAGAAGACGGACCTGGGTGGAGTCAAAATAATGCTGGCTCCTGGTCTTCTTACAATCCTCTGTCTTATCTCTTTATTCCGTGTGGGTGATGAAGAAAAGCGTGTCTGTAGGAAGGGACTGGAAGTTGCTGCAGTACTGTTTAAAGGGTTGAGCTTCTGTTGCATCCAGGGAGTGAAGAGAGCAGGGATTGCAGAATGGAAAGGAGCTTTAGAACCAGCTCTGATTCCAGCCATGCCGGGGCTGTCTCCTTGCTGAATGACCTTGAACCAGTTATTCCTTTTCCTGAATTGAATTTTCTTGTCCTAAAAACGTAGCAAAAATATGCCTTCTGGGTTAAGGATGGGCTAATGAAGCAGCACATAAAATACCTACTGCAATTCTCAAGAGCTTCCAAGGTTCTCAACAGATGTTTCTTAACTCAGTGTGAGCTAGACAATGAATATTAGAAAAAGTCACAGCTCTCCATCTGTCATGGGCCATGTTGATGGGGCATGAACTGTGTGAGTCAGATCCTTCATCCCTGAACATTTCATGGAAATATTTTTCTGTTCATCTATCCATTTGACTCACAAAAACACAATTTATTGGTTTATCCAGCTCATATTTTCTGAGCATCTGCTATATAGTAGGACTTTATACACTTGATTTCTAATACTATAAATACTCTTTGTTGAGTGGCTTTTTTTTTTTGGTCGGTCATGGGGTTTGAACTCTGGGCCTGGGCTCTGTCCCTGAGCTCTGTAGCTCAAGGCTAGTGCTTTTATCACTTGAGCCCCTGAGCCACTTCTGGTTTTTTGGTGGTTAATTAGAGATAAGAGTCTCATGGATTTTCCTGCCTGGGCTGGTTTTGAACCATGATCCTCAGATCTCAGCCTCCTGAGTAGTTAGGATTACAGGAGAGCCACCGGCACCCAGCTTCAGAGGATATTTTTTGAATGTCCTTATATGCCAGAGACAGTGAGACAGGGGATGTAGAGAGTTCAGCCAGATGAACACTTAAGATTTCTTCAGCATCTCCATCTTTATTTGGCTCCGCATGTAGAGAGACTTTAGGGTCATCAATGGAATGTCTAAGGGTGTGCAGCGTAAGCAGGCGGCAGTGGGGCGGGGGTGTGAATTGGGCTGAGCTCTGTGGTCTGTTGCAGGCAGAGGCCCCATCTTTTGTTGTTGTTGTTGCTATTGCTCATATCTAGAGAACCAGCTGGTTCTGGAACAAATGATCCTGGAATGACTTTGTAGATTATTATTTGTTGTTGTTACTGTTATTATCATTGTTTATTGCACATTTGCTTCTTTTTGGTTTGATGTTCACGTACCACCATCAGCTGAAGGTCACTATGCACCAGGTCCCCTGGACACTACACCATTTCCTATCCTCACAGCCAGCCTGAGAGGACAGGGATCATGTCAGACAAATAAAGGTGTCTTGTCTGTTCCTCAATGCTCTTTGCCAGGTTTACACTTCCCTGTTCCCAGGAGAGGCGGAGAAACTTGAGAGCAGGAGTCGTATCTGGCTTGTCTTGGGCTGTTGTAGAGCTCATGCTAGGTGTCAGAGTGGATTTTCCATCAATATTTGTTGAATGACTACAGTGTGTTGTGGAAGGGAGAGAGGAAGTGGATTTATTTACCATTTACAACATAGTTTTTTTTTAATGTCCTTCCAATTTCCCTTCATTCCTGTGTGTCATCTAATGGGCAATTACATTCAGTTCTATTGTGTTTTTAATGGGAAGAACTAGTGGTGATTTATTGTAACACTTTGTCCTTGTATAGTTCAGATCACTGAAAGTCTCCCAAATAGCTAATGTCCAGTAGAGAAAAGGATGGTCTCTTGAAATTCTGTAACACTCTGGACTTCTGCCCAAGGGTCTGTGTCTCTCCTGTGAGTAGAGCTCACAGGAAATTTGCTCATCAATCTTTGGAAGGGCCTTACTACCTGGGAAACAGAAGGAATGGGACTGGGGCCAGTCATAGGGACCCTGTGTGTTAGGGCCTATGTGAGAAGCTAGCTACATGGTTCCCAGACTTCTGAATTCCAGTCCCAGAACAGACTATGGACTTTGAAAAGAGAGGGTTTTCCTTTCTTCCTCTGCCTGCCCCCAGCACACCATCAGCTTATGGATGTGCAGATTCAGGAATAAAACACCACAGTAGTTTCTAGACAACCTAGTGAGATGAGGAAGATAAATATGAAAACAAGACATGGAAGTAGAATTTAATGTGTTTATGTAAGTTATCATATTCCAAGAAATGTGATAACCTATTTAAGCAATTTGAGTGAAATCTGTTCCTTCCTGTCACTATTGTCTGGCTCAGGGAGAATGTGTGCAAATGTGGCTATACCCAAAGCCAACACGTGGAAGGCACCCAGATTAACGACAACGATAAATGGAATTACAAGAAACACACCAAGGAGTTTCCAACAGATGCCTTTGGCGATATTCAGTTTGAGACACTGGGAAAGAAAGGAAAGGTAAATGATTTTTTTTTAAACTTGGGTCCTTTATTTGTTAAAACACAACTTGGACTCCTTTGAGTTACCTTTATGTTGTCTATTAGGGTGGGGGTGGGAGAGATGGGAGGCAGCTACCAGAAATGGTTGCAGATGAAGAGAAATCTTGTCCAAGTGGGAAGTTAGTGACTAGGTTGTGCCGTTCAACTGGAAAAACCCAATAGGTAAGGGCAGGATTACCCCTGGGGTCCCTGTAGTATCCATGTTGAATCTCACTACTACAAGAGGCCCGGTGGACTCTTCCGTTCTGTGGTGTGTGGTGTTCCTGATAACACACACAGCCCCGAACAAGGTACCCTGCAAGCTGTGCGGGAGGCGTGCGATGATCAGAACCTGAGCCTCCCCAAGCCTTCTGATGCTCTGTCTCAGGGACAGCTGGGCGGGTGGGAAGCAGGCCTGGCTCATCCCCGGGCGGCGTCCCGGTCATCCCAGGGCCGCCCAGGGCCGGCTCTCCGCAGGCCTCTGCCCCGCCATGGGGGCAGCGCCATTTTTTGCCTCCTGCCTTGGCCCAGCTCTGCTGCGGGGGGAGGCAGGCACCTGAAAGTAAAGCCATGTCCTTCCGGACGCCCCCGACCCCCCGGGGCGGCAGGGGCCCCCCAGCTCCCTGGCCGGGGTCATCCCGCCCGGTGCTCCGCCCTGCCCAGCTCCCTGGCCGGGGTCATCCCGCCCGGTGCTCCGCCCAGCCCAGCTCCCTGGCCCGGGTCATCCCGCCCGGTGCTCCGCCCTGCCCAGCTCCCTGGCCGGGGTCATCCCGCCCGGTGCTCCGCCCTGCCCAGCTCCCTGGCCCGGGTCATCCCGCCCGGTGCTCCGCCCTCCTCGGCAGGGCCCTGCCCTGCTCCCATGGGTCTCCCAACAGGGTCCTAACGTTGTCCCCATCCCCCCGACAGTACATCCGTTTGTCCTGCGACACAGACGCAGAAACCCTCTACGAGCTGCTGACCCAGCACTGGCACCTCAAAACACCCAACTTGGTCATTTCCGTGACCGGAGGCGCCAAGAACTTCGCCCTGAAGCCGCGCATGCGCAAGATCTTCAGCCGGCTGATCTACATTGCCCAGTCCAAAGGTGTGCGCCTGCGCAGTACAGTGATACAGCTGCGCGCCTACCAGGCGCCTGCGCAGCACAGCTCCGCGCCTGCGCGGTACAACTTGGCTTCTGTGGGGCTGGAGGCAGAATTCCCACAGATTTCCCAACTGCGGGTCAGGGTCCTTCTAGAACCGTGTGACATTGTCTGTTCTTTTATGGTCTCAAATAGCCTTAAACGCTTGGACAGTCAAAGCGGTCTGGAAAGATGGTTTTTTAAAGTAGCTCTTCATGTCAGCATTCAGGGGCTGCTTTAGGTCATTTTATTTTCACTTTTAAGCAAGTTGCTAAGGTTTACGATGTTCATTTATTTACACACATAAAATTTACTCAGAAGCATTCTGCTGAGTCGAAATGGAAAATTTTATTGGACTGTTACTTTTTAATATCACTGACATATATACATACATAGATATATATTCAAGACAGAGCATAGGAACCATTGGAGTGACTGAGATAAAAGCCTTTATTGATGATTTGAAATAGGCAGCTTAGCTTTTTTATTCTTAACATTTTTATTTAGAAAATTTCCAAGTGTACTGACGGGGTAGGGGTAGGAATAATAGATAATGTGTGTTTCTCCCAGACTTAATATTTGTCTTTCTTGTTTCATAAATATCTAAGGATTATAGGTTTTGAGAATAAGTCGTAGGTACCCTGTCACCCAGGTTTGTCAGTGTGCTTCTCCTAAGAGCAGATTATTTTTATACTTCCTAGCAAAAGTTTCCAGCCTGAGGCACTTAACCCAATTTTCTTTAGAGCAAATTCATTTTTCTGCATTTGGATTCCAAACCCATTTGCCATATGTGTGTGTGTGTGTGTGTGTGTGTTTCCCCTCAGCACAGGATCTTAGCCTTTTCTTGCCTCCATCACTGCATAAAGAGCAAATGTCAGCAGCTTGGTAGATTGTCCTTCAATTTAGGCTTGACTAGTGTTTTCTCATAATTAGATTCCATTCATCTGAGTTGTGGAAACTTCCTTTTACAAAGATGAGTTGACTGACAGAAGAAAGGAAACATCTTGTTTACGATGTAGAAGACACTGAACCTTCCTCTCCTGCACTATTTTCAGCTTCTTATTCAACCGGAGGAGGGGTTACTGTGGGTAGTTATTTTAAGAAATGGCATAATTTTGTTCCTCACTGCTAAATCCTGAACACCTGGTAGTCATTCATTCAACAGTATGTACTAAGTGCCTATTTTGTGCACAGAATTGTCTTCCATGCTAGCAGAAGGAAACAACAAAGTCACTGGCCAGGAAGAATGCTCCCTTCTTCTACTTATATCAGTGAGGAAAGTTTCATTTAGATTGCCCAAAAGTGTGTGTCCATGGTGCACATCCATGTGTGTGCATACTGTTAATACTGAGGCTTAAACTCAGGGCCTTGGACCAGATCATGAAGGTACTTGTCTCCTAGTTTTTGGTGTTAGTCACTTCTGGTTCCCTCATTTTAAAGGGGGAGGGATGGGAGAGATGTAGACCTTGTGAAAACTGGCTGGAGGAAGTGGGCATGAAATTTCCAAGGGTCTTTTTTGCAGTTCATCTTAATTACTGGAAGATCTTTGATGAAGGTGCTCACTAAGCTTCTCCTTTATGTCTGAAGACAATCGTGATAGTTCTTGCATGGGCAATATGTCACAGTAGAGTCTATGCTAAATAATATGATTTCAGATATTATAGTACTTTGATTTTGTGCAAATGGCCAAAAGCCTAAAATCCTTTTTTGCACCGAGAATATTGCCAAATACAAATCCTTAAAAAGCCTGAACATTTAATGCAATAATAAAGCAAAACAAAATTACTGGCAGCAGGGCCATTTGAGGATCATTCACTCTTCCCTGACTGACGTGGAGTCAGTGGACCACTGTTGGAGCTGCACTGACCGGCTCTCGTGGTCAGGTGTTCACTGTCCTTACAACGACTCCCTTAGACACTGAGTGTTGAAGAGATTTGCTGGTCTCACCCCCTCAAGAAGCTGAGGTCTAGACTGGGGTCTGGGGCCGGTGTTTTCTGTCATGCTCATTGCTGGACACTGAGGACCTTCCTTGCCTTGCAGTGGTGGGTGAGACTATCCCACAGTGTGGCAGCCCATGCAGTGTGTCCTGAGGCTCACAGACAGCAGGGCTTCTCTAGGAATCTGTAAGCACAGGATGGAAATCTGACTCCTCACCCACTGGCGTTCTCTGTTCACCCAAGGTGCCTGGATCCTCACTGGAGGTACTCACTATGGCCTGATGAAGTACATCGGGGAGGTAGTGAGAGACAACACCATCAGCAGGAATTCGGAAGAGAATATCACAGCCATCGGCATCGCAGCTTGGGGCATGGTCTCCAACCGTGACACGCTCATCAGGAATTGCGATGATGAGGTACGGGAGACAGGGGAAGGAGACCTGCCAGGGCTTATGGGAGAAAGACCAAGGCAGGGGGAGGGCTCTGTGATGTAGCCAGCTCCTGGTGAAGCCTGCCATTCAACAACAGCTTTTGGAGCTCAGGCACTGACAACTAGGTACTCAAAACTCTTAAGGAAGGGGCTAGTGATAGATGCGTTTTCTGCATTAACATCTGTTTCCAGCAATCTCATGTTACGTCCAGGTTCTTCATTCTTTGTAATCATAACCTGAATGTATCCTGGAAGAATTGAGATGCTGGGGTCATCCTTTATTGCTGTACCTCGCTCATTGCAATTCAGATTGATGGCTACTTATTGTTTGTTGTTTGGGATTAGGAAGGCTGTGAGGTCCACCCCACTGAACATTTCCTGTGAACGTATATAGCAATGAATGTGTATTTCATGTTTAAAATACAAGGTAGAAGGGGAGGCATGGCTCAAGTGGTAGAGCAACCAGCTGTGAGTAAAAAAGCTAACTAAGAGAGTAAGGCCCTTGAGTTCAAGCCCCAGTACTGGCTCTAAATAAATGCATAAAAAATAAAATTACAAGGTAGAAAACAACAAGTGTTCTCTGCTCAGAAGACTTGGCTCAGGAAATCTGGATGTTGAGAAATCCAAATGTAACCTACACTTCCTTCTGTCTGGGCTCCATAAATGTCTAGACAGTAAATTTTAAGGAGTGTGAGGTTTGTTATGGCGGCTTTAAATTTTATTTTCTTGTCTATGGTACCGTGTTTGAGACTTCTAAGGGGAAACAGAGAGTAGAAGGCATTTCTTGATGGCTTCAAAGAGGCAGGACGATGAGGAGAGAGGAGACTGGCCTTCAGGAGCCACACGGGGGCTTCCTCATGAGTCTGTTCATTTCTCTGAGTTAAAAAATAACTTTGTGTTATGATGGGATAGTTTTATCGAATTGTGATTTTATTACTATTATCAAGTGCTTGATAAAGAATGGCAAAGTGGTCGCATATCAAATGCTAACTTCAGAGGTGAGTGACCTGAATCAGGATGTGGAGGGCAGTGGCAGGCTGGGCAGGGTAGAATACCACCCAGCATTGCTTTCACTATTGGCCTTGTTTGTTACAAATATGGAGTCAGGAAGTGGCGCTGTGGCTCAAGTGGTAGAGTGCTTGCCTTGAGCTGAAGAGCTGAGGGACAACACCCAGGCCCAGAGTTCAAGCCCCAGGACCGACCAAAAAAATAAAAACAAAAACAAAAACCAAATATGGAGTCAGTTTAGAGTTCATTTCATTATGGCAGATACACCACAAAACCATAAAGTAAAACTTTCTTGACGCTGGCTCCAGCGGCTCATACCTGTAACCCTAGCTGAGATCTCAAGAGGCTGAGAGCTGAGAATCACAGTGTAAAGTCAGCCCAGGCAGGAAAGTCTATGACACTCTTATCTCCAGTTAACCAGCAAAAAGACAGAAGTGGAGAGAACTAGACTTGAGCAAATAAAAGCTCAAGGATAATACCCAGGACCTGAGTTCAAGCCCTAGAACTAGCACGTATGCACACATGTGCCCGTGCGCACACACACACACACACACATGTACACACACACACACACACACATGTACACACACACACACACATACACACACACACACACACATACACACACATGTACACAGTAAAACCTTGAATTGTAGCAATATTTTCCTGAGTACTTATTCTTTGTAAGTAAAATTCAGAATAAATATGTAAAATTCATAACAGAAAGTGCTAACCCCCTGGAAATTAAGAAAGGACCAACTAACCATGTGGCAAATAAATGTTAGGTCAGTAGCACAATTTCAAGAATATGGTGTTGCTTAGAAAGCACTTAGAAAGCATTGCTAATGAGAACAGAGTTATCAGTTTTCCAGTGTGGACAAAGCTACACTCAGGAATGAAATTCGTGCCCTATAATCTTCATTAGTAAAAAATAAATAGTTCATAATCCTCATTATAGGAGCCGAAGCTTATTTGACAATACTACACAACAGGTTCTATTTAAAGTGTTTCATACACACTGATTCATTTCATCTTCACAACAACCCATCAGGTAGGTACTGCAATTATATTCTCATTAGAGTTGAGGAAACTGAGGCACGGAGAATTAAGAAAATCCCTGAACTCACAATGTAGTCAGTGGCAGTCATGTCTCATGGTCCTTTGGACACTGTAATTTCCAAATAAATTAATTTAGAAAGTAATGCCACTGGCACAACTCAATGAAAGCAGGAAAAAATGTTCAACCAGAAAAGACTATAGAAATTACCGTTTTGTTCTTTGAAATATCTTTAACAAATTAAGGAATACATAGACCTGAGAAATTAAATGTAATACTGAAAAAATACTCTGAGGATGTGACATATCATGACATACCAAGAATTCTGAAACTCTCATGAAAAGTAAAATTTTTCTATAAAGCTAAACTTCTCCAAAGTTGATTCAAGAACTAGAAAATATGAATAGAGAAATTGTCAATGATGATAATAACTAAAAGTTATTCTCTAAATTGCTCCTGAGTTAGATGATTTCACCTAGCCAGTAAAACATAAAAGTGGTCTAGTCATTTTTGACTTTATAGCTTTCTATTACACACAAAAGTATGGGATCATTGCAGATTCCTGAAGAAAAAGCAAATTTTTGTTTTCTTTCTAGAAAAATATCTAAAAATACATATAAAGAGCATAAAATTATTCTTCTAGCAGTCACTAGAGAATTTAATGTTTGGACAAAGCTATTCATTCAAGTACTTAGCATTCTTACAAGACCTAAATATCTAGTAATGCCTACTATAGATATTTATTAATAGGTATTTGTCATCTAGTAACACTTATTAAGGATACCTTCAGGAATATTATATTGCTATATGAAGGAAAATTACAGCGTTATCAAGATCTTTCCAAAGATGTTTCAATAGTATGGGAAATATTTTTAATTTTAAGTATAAAATCATGTGACACATGTAGAAAAGAACTGTTCTTAAAATCTTGATGCTATCACTGAGTCATAGCATTAAGCATAATGTTAACGCTCCTCTTTCTGCACATTTCATTTCTATAGTAAACATGTATTGTTTTTCAGTTCCTCAATTATAGTGCTGGTTTCTATTCCTTTTATATGTCTGCTAATGACCATCTCCAGTGACTTAATACAGTTTCATGGCAAACTCATATCATTTTGTGGTTGTCTTCCTGGCTTCTTTACTGTGTCTTTGAATGACAGTGTTTGGTCTTTTGTGGAGACCAGCGGTTCGTAATAATTTTGTTGGGCCTCTCTTTTTGCGTGGTTTCTACTCAAGGCTTCTTAGCAAACCCTACCACGGGCAGATGAAGCTGGAAGGCTGTAACATCACCAAGACTGAAATAATGCCCTGTTCACAACACTGAAATTTACCCTGCTTTTAGGAACGCTTTCAGAATTTTCTCTCATTTCCCATCATATTTTTTCCCCTAGTATCAGTACTGTAATTTAAAAATGATTGTGGTATTAGATATGCATTTAAAAAAGTAGCCTGGGGCTCTACTCATTATTCTTGTTTTGCAAACTTTTCTAGGCTATTTGTTGTTGAGAGATTAGCGAGAGCCTGTTCTCCCTGGAGCACTTGAGGAGGAGGTTTAAGTGTTGTTAAAGCACTGTGAAATCGTTAAACCACTGTTAATGTTCATGATCAGCCTCTGTTAAAAACACTTCTTTTTAGTTTTACTTTTATTTTAAATAAACTAAAACGGGCTAGAGTGATTTGACTCTGTAATTGCACGTTGGACACCCTCTCAGGTACCCTAGCTGGTTGAATAAAGTTGACATGCAGCCAGCCCTCCTGCCCTCATGCCGGGCTAGCTTCTTAGAAAACTCCATGGAAAACTCAAGGAAACTACATTGTAATCCCAGCTGCTTTCTGCCAAGCAGAAGCCAGCTTCAGGAGGACTGTCCCGGCCAGCCCGTTCCTAATGGCTTGTGCTGGACTGAAGAGCCTCTCATCCTCTACCCACAACCCCTTTCTGGGTGGAGCCAAGGATCCTACACAGCCAGCTGATTTGTAATGTTATCATGGTTTTTCCACTCAGACTTCAGAATACCATTTTCAGATACAATCACAGGGACAAAGCAATAACAACAAAAATGTGAAGTCACTGAGTAGAATCATATTACATCTTCAATGGATCCTGGAAATAAAGTCACTGTTGTAACATCTTAGTTTGTTATTCTGTCCTGATTAAGGATGTGGAGTCAGGGCTATGTTCTGGAAGAGTGTGGATGAGGTGGGATTTTTTTTTTTTGTCCCACAGACATTTGTGGAATACCCCCTCCCACGCCTCCATGCAGACATCTTGCCAACATTAGCTCATCTGTTGTACTCAGAATTCCCTTGGTGACAGCCTCTTATCTTGCCAAGAACACTTAGCGAATACAACTGTATTGTTTAAAAATTAAACTTTCTTTATACCTTTGTTCCGATTTTATTTATGCCATTAGCAGAATCAACAACTTTTCTCTCCCTGTTGATTCCAACTCACATTCGATTCTGAGTTGTGGAAGTGTCTTGTTTTGTTTGTTGATTTCTTGGTAGTAGTGGATTTTAAACTCAAGGCCTCATGCTTTCTAAACAGGCATTCTGCCACTTGCGCCAGGCCTCTGACTCTTATAGTTTTGCCTGGGCCAGCCTGGCCAACACCTATAACCTCTCGAGTAGCTGGGATTATAGATAAATACTGTCATGACTGGTTTATTCATTGAGATGAAGTCTCACTAACTTTTTTTTCTTCTTCATTTCTTTTTGGCTTACAAACTGCAATTCTCCCAATCTCTACCTCCCAAGTAGCTGGAACTAGAATCATGAGCCACTCTCCCCCAAATAACTTTTAATGCAAAAAATAAAGAATCTCTGATCTGTTAAAAGCTAAACAGCTTTGAAGTGTAAGAGGCAGGAGCCCCTGTGGTAGGAACTCCTTCCTTGAAGCTCCTGCAGTGGGCTTTTCTTCCCTGGTGTGTTTGGGACCATGTAACCATTTAATTGCTTGTATTTGTGGTACTATAACTATGCACTTCTCCTGTGCAGAGGTCTATTTTCTAGTGATTAGACCCTGGCTCAGGTTCTGACATGTGACAGATAGATTCTGTATGTGTATAAGCTAATACCTATGTATTAACACACACACACACACACACACACACACACACACACACACACACACATGTACACACACTCATCTACTTTTTTCTTTCTTTTTTTTCTGGCTTGAACTCTGGGCCTGGGCACTGTCCCTTGGCTCTTCAGCTCACCTTGAGCCATAGCGCCACTTCTGGTTTTTTGATGGTTAATTGGAAATAAGAGTCTCATGGACTTTCCTGCCCAGGCTGGCTTTGAACTGTGATGATCAGATTTCAGCCTCCTGAGTAGCTAGGATTACAGGTGTGAGCAACCAGCACCTGGCTCATCTAGTTTCTTGAATGCTATCCATTTCAGTGACTTTATACGCAAGTGCTAGGTGGTGGTGGGGGAGATCAAAACCTTACACTGTCCCTGGGCCATAAGATATGCATGGCCAAGTGATCCCAACTCTGTGACACTTCATTGGTTTAGCAGGAAGCCTCTGAGTCCTCTGGGACCTTCGGAACACAGAAAGTCTGGAGGAAGCAGCAAGGTAGTTAAAATCCCCTAAGAGCTGCCTTCATGAGGTCATAAAAATGTCCTAAGACAAACCTTCCTGTGCTTCTCAGGGCTACTTTTCAGCTCAGTACATCATGGATGACTTCAAGAGAGATCCTCTGTACATCTTGGATAACAACCATACCCATTTGCTGCTTGTGGACAACGGCTGCCACGGGCACCCCACGATCGAGGCAAAGCTCCGCAACCAGCTGGAGAAGTACATCTCGGAGCGCACTAGCCAAGGTCAGTATTTAGGGAAAGGAGCAAGAGACACTCTGTAAACACAGCACCGCCCACACCTGCCTGAGGCCGAGGATGTGCAATGAGGTATCTTCCCTGCCAGAGAAGAGCTGTCTGTCCTTCCCGAGGAGCTGTCCTGCTTGGGCTGTCATCCTTCTTCTTTCTTCAGCTTCCTTGGAGTGCTTCTGCCAGGGTCCCTGGGACACATGTCCTTCAGCACGGGCAAGAGAATGACAGACGCTTCCTTCTCATCTGTAATATGGGAAGTCTGTGGTGTGTCTGTCCCCTTAGCATGTAAGAACAAGTGAAATCCGTGATGGCAAGTAGGAATTGTAAAAAGCAGTGCCAATAACTAAGATCGAATAATGACTAAAACCCAATCCACCAGTGCAACGACTGGAAGGCCACTGAACGTTTTGAATCTTAGCTGCTTCTTTGGAATAGAACTGCCTAGAATATTGTTTCCAGGGGAGACTGCAGCAGGTGAGTGAAGGCTTCATGTGGCTGTAGGTGACATGCACTTTGCCTTCCTGAGGCCAAGCTGTGTCCTGCTGCCCTTGGGACTTAGTGATTGACCTTATCACAGGGACTTGCTGGAGGTGTTCTCCATGGCCTTTCTTCCCCAGTGGAACATACAGGAAGAAACACATTTACAAATGTGCTGAACTCCATTGGGAGAACACCTAGTTATGCAAATTTCCAACTCCTCAAGAAGGCCTAGGATTGTGTTAATGCATAAGAGAATAATTATTGTAAGGATAAACTTGTGCCTGGTTTCAGCATATTGGCAGAAGTAAATCAAACCAAGAGCTTAGCCTTTTAAATATTTGTGACACCACAGCGTGACCCCTGCCAGATGGGCACTAGGTTGGTGCCCGGACCTATTCACTGTGAGCGCTGTGTAGAGAGCTTCAAAGTCAAGCCCAGGAGCTATGGAGCTGTCCAGTGGGCCTCATGGGACAGAAGGTCCGGGCATACCTGTTATACCAGGTGGGTGGCTATTTCCATGGGATCCTTTTTGTTTTACAGATTCCAACTATGGTGGCAAGATCCCCATTGTGTGTTTTGCCCAGGGAGGAGGAAGAGAGACTTTGAAAGTGAGTCCTGGTTTACTTTTTGAGGAGACTGGCTAACAGAAGATGATATCCGTAGGGTTTTGGAGTTTGTCTAATCTGCAGTGACCCATTTCTTTACTGCAGGCTGGGCTTCAGCTCAGAATTTGGGCAGGAGGATGTAGGCCCACAGAAATAGCCTGTGTGTTTAGTGTCAGCCTTGACGATGAGCCTGTCAAAGACAAGAGCTGTCCTCCACCTGTGCATCTCATGGGCTACACCCTGGCATGTGTAGTGGGAAATGGTGTCCACCTCATCTGAGTGTAGATGTAGCACATGATCCATCCTAAGTTAGATGTTCCCAGACCACTGCAGCCCCCCCAGCGTCTCCTGCAGACATGGGACTCCACATGAAGGAAGCCCAAGTCCTAAGGGACTCAGAGCACAGAATAGCCCTTGGATGATTCTGGGCAAGAACTGGATCCCCTACCTCTATGTGGACTCTGATGTTGCTGAACTCACCTGTCTACAGCCAGGCATGTGTCAGACTTTTAAACAAAGAACATGAGTGTGACTACATTTTGTTCTCTGTTTGGAGACACCATTTTCAAGAGCTCGTTTTCTAGGAATGTTTAGGAATAGGACCTTACGTGAAAGTGATATCAGCCAGGTTGCCAGTGGCTCACACCTGTCATCCTCGTTACTGGAGAGACTGAGATGTGAGAATCACAGTTTGAAGCCAGCTCAGAAAGACTTCCACTTGATCAGCTAAAAGCTGGAAGTGGAGATGTAGCTCAAGTGGTAGAACGCAGCCTTGAGCAAGAAAGCTAAGAGACAGAGTCCAGAATCCCATTTTAAGCCCTAGTACTGGCATAAACCAACAACAGAACATTTTTTTTAAAAAGAAACCTAACCAACACAAAAGTAAGGCCTAACTCCTCTTTTACATTAATTTTCATGTCCCTTTCCTATCCTATTTATTCTCCAAAACTGAGATTAAAGATCTGTGTGCCCTTGGCTCTCTCCCCAGCATTGGCCAGGGTACATCCTGAACTGAACAGCACTTGCTGGCAAAGCTACTGGAGTTATAGTCAAGCATCCATATGCTCCTTCTTTCTGTGGGACAATGATCTTTCCATTCACTCGTTCATTAATTTATTCATTCATGCAACCCATATTTACTCCACACTCACTGGGAGACCATGGGTAAATGAAAATCATCCAGAGACTTTAAAAAAATGAATGATTTACAATAAAAGACTTTACAGGGAATAATTAAAATAAGTATTTTTTTCAATACAAAAAGTATGGGTAACTTCCTTCCGATAAGCTGTCAGTGATCATGTTGAAGTGTACCTTCAAAGCTGTCATTAGAGTGTCAGTATCTGGAATTATAGATGTGTGTGCAGGGGGATAGTTACTCTATGGACAATGTAAGTTGTCATGGGAATCTGCTTCTTTGCCGGTATGCCAATAAGCCTGGCTTGCTTTGCTTATTCATTAGGCGGTTGCAGACAATTGAGTTGTTTCTGGTTTGAAACGGATGCGCTAAGAGCAGAAGTGCAAGGAGAATGTCTGTGTATTTTACTCAAAACCTTATTCCCTCTGGGTCCTGTCGATCACCAGGAGCCCTCCCATCCGTCCATCTCTGTCTCCTCTCCCAGGCCATCAACACCTCCATCAAGAGTAAAATCCCATGTGTGGTGGTGGAAGGCTCGGGGCAGATCGCTGACGTGATCGCCAGCCTGGTGGATGTGGAAGATGCCTTGACCTCGTCCATGGTCAAGGAGAAGCTGGTACGCTTTTTACCACGCACAGTGTCCCGGCTTCCAGAGGAGGAAATTGAGAACTGGATCAAGTGGGTGAGTTTAGGGGGAAGACGTTGTGGGGGGCTGAGGATCAGGAAGCTGAGTTCATGGGAATGGAGGTGAACCCAGTAGGAGCTGCAGGTGTTGGACTAGTCCTCGTGACTCTGAGTCTGGATTCTGGCCTAGCCCAGGCATCTTGTGAGAAACAAATTTTGTGCCATACAGGCTTAAATTCAGGCCTGGTTGCAAAGTCTATCATCTTCCTTGAGGCCACGATGCCAACAAACACACTTCTGTGATTTGCACTTATCATTGATGGGGAAGAAAGAAATCCCCAGGAATGACAGTTTAAAGATGCAAACTCTTAACGGAATCTATAGTTACTGGCAGAAACACCATTATACATTACGTTGCTTGTGACATTGCCTGGTCTGCAGTGTGGATTTGATGATCTCGTGTTTCTTGGTTGAAGATGTAAGATAGGCAGCTTCACAGGAACAATCATGCTTCTTATTGCCATGTTTGTGGGAGTATTTTAACACGAGAACAATGTGCTTTCACCTCTCTCATGTCAAGGGAAGCCAACACATTAACCACCGGCCAGTAAGATGCTAATTGTCAAATATAATGGCTATCTTCATTTGCATCCTTGTACCTTCCAGGCCCACTGAGACCCTGTGGTACCTTACACTTTGGAACTAGAGACTCTCTCATTAGAAACTTTTCCTGGATGTTTACTTTCTTTATTAAAACTGCCTACTTCAGTTTTTAAAAATTCACCCTAGACTTGTGCTATTTTCTGGATAAGAATCAAATATCAGTTGCATAGACCCAGTCAATACTTCTCTCATTATTAAGTTTTAAAGTTAGATACCACACAAAAATCCCAATTCCTATTATAGGGAGTTAAGATACTTTATATGCATGTGTGGAAGTACCACAAAAATCCCTTTTCATACAATTAAGATACACTAATTAATGAAGAAAGAAAGTCACATCTGTTCAGTCACCAAAAACTCTTGGTTATTGTTTGCATTTGAGCTTTTCATTTCTATCGTGCCAGACTTTATGACAATGCTTAGATATTGTTTTATTCCGGTACCTGCTCTTCATTTATTTACTCATTTGATAATTGAGAACCAGAGATCTACCAGGCTCTATTACACAGACACATGCACACACACTCACATGCTCATATACTTGCATGCACACACACAGGCACACTCATATATACTTTTAGTTGTACACTTACCCTTACAGGTGCTCAGCATTTTGATATGGGATTTTTGATATGTGTATTCTTGTACCCTCAATTTTTGATTTCCATTATATCAAGGATGCATTATTATAATTAAAAATTAGAAGCTATGGGTATAGGCATTATTGTTGCAGGAAGGAGATCTGGAATTTAAAAAGATGGAATTAACAATCTCTCACCAACAGAGATAAGTTTATGTTCTTGGTGCTTAAAACCTGTCAGCTGACAGCTTTATTCTTTAATGTTACCAGCTCAAAGAAATTCTCGAAAATTCTCACCTATTAACAGTTATTAAAATGGAAGAAGCTGGGGATGAGATTGTGAGTAATGCTATCTCCTACGCTCTGTATAAAGGTGAGTGGGGAGAATGTCCTAAGAACTTCCACCTTGTGCTTCTTTCTGTCTGTGGGTTTGGTGACTTACAGTTCTTTGTAAAAATTGCTTTATTGGTAGGTGCCAGTGGCGTATGCCTATAATCCTAGCTACTTGGGAAGCTGAGATTTGAAAATCACAGTTCAAAGCTAACCTGCACAGATAAAAGCCAGAAGTAGAGGTGTGTCTCAAGTGGTAGAGTGCTAGCCTTGAGTGAAAAAGTTGAGAATAAGCATAAGGCCCTGAGTTCAAGCCCCAGTACTGGCACGCACTCAAACACACATACACACATTATGTGAAATTGAAATTTTGTGCCATCCAGGCTTAAATTCAGGCCTGATTGCTTATTAAGCAGGTTGAACTTTCATACTCTGAAAATCTGAAATACAAAATTCTCTAAACTTTTTGTGTGCTGATAAGATACCACAAGTGGGAAATTCCATACCATGAAACTGGTTTTTTTAATTTAAAATATTGTATTGAACTAACTTCCGACTGTGTATAGTAGATGTATGTGTGTACATTTCATGCTTAATCATGGGCCCTAGGATATCTTATTCTTTGTGAATTAAAAATTAAAATCTAAAGTACTTCTGGTCCTAATCATTTTAGATAGGGAACGTGTAACTTGTATCATCTTGCATTTAATTTAGGGTATAAAAGAGTGAAAGACAACATATCTACACTCTGGGGAGACAAATTTCCTCAGATACATGTACATAATAACAATGTTTATATCATTATACATACTTATCAAAATGCTGTACCAAAGCTGCTTCTAGAAGTGTTTTAGAATATTTTCCTAGGTCTCTTCTTACATTGAAAATGTTATTAAAAATGTTATTCAAAAGACTAAATGTTATTTAGTCTTAAAGCTTTACATATAAGTAACACACAGGCACACACAGAGAGATCACACACACCAAAATCAAACCAACAACTTTGCATTGATTTCTGGAGTTAACAAATCTCCTGAACTTATGAACTATTCTCAGACTAGACCATTCTTTGTGGTCTTTGCTGTCCACCAAAGTGGACGTCAGGTGAAGTAAATATAAACAGGTCTTTGGCAGAGCCAAGCCTTTTGGAGTTGTACTATCTGATTTGAAAAATGCAAAACAAGCCAGGCACTGCTGGCTCACACCTGTAGCTGTTCAGGAGGTTGAGATCTGAGGATCAGGTTCTAAGCCAGCCTGGACAGGCAAGTCTATGAGACTCTTATCTCTAATAACCTCCAACAAATAAAAAAATAGAAACAAGCTGGAAGCAGAGCTATGGCTCAGTGGTAGAGTGCTGGCTCTGAATAAAGAGAAGCTCAGGGACTGTGCCCACGCACATAGCAAGTGCAAGTTGATTGCTTATTACACACATTCTGGTTTCACTTGCCAGAAATTTGGTTGTAACAGTATTTATTCAAAGGGAGAGCAGAGAGCATGGCTTAAGTAAAGTACTTGCCTAACAAGTGTATGGCCCTGAGTTCAAACCCTACTACTGACAAACCCCCTCCACCTATAAAACAACTCTAGTACTCTAGTGTTTATTCAGACAGGGTTCTGGTGTATATAATATATACTATTATATATTAATATAACATAATATAAATTATATAATCAATATATAATTATATAGAATATATAATATAATAACATAATTTTGATATAATATATAGTTATAATTATATATGATATACTATATACAAAATATATGATAATATATAATATATAATGTATAATAATTATATATAATAATGTGGTATATATTATATATAATATAATATATACTTATATAATATAAGATAGTATATAATACAAGATAGTCTAGGTATGGAAAATACTAGCCCTGAAATAGACAAGAAGCACATTAATGTGACATGACAAATTACTTTTTATAGCTTTAAATATAGTGTAAATCAGATATTATTTTTGCGGTATAATGCCCATAGAATCTGGATCTATGAGAAAATGCCAATATACTACACTTTATGTTGTTTAGGAAGATATTACTATAACCTGGCCGATCTTCATTATGTATCATGGCCTGCAGAATGTGGTTGAGAATGAATGACAGTGAAGTACTCTCATGGTTCTGAGTGTCCACTTCTGACAGAGCCCTCTTCAATCACTGTGATAACTGGCCACAGAGAATGGTCTGACTCTTTTCTCTTCTTTGGGCCCCTTTGTTCTGTGGATGCTCCCCCTGCTTGCCGACAGCCTTCAGCACCAATGAACAAGACAAGGATAACTGGAATGGACAGCTGAAGCTTCTTTTGGAGTGGAACCAGCTGGAGCTCGCCAGCGACGAGATCTTCACCAATGACCGCCGATGGGAGGTAAAGGAGCAGCCCTCAGGGGTTACCCTAGCTTCAGTGACTCCTGGGCCATTCCAAGGTCATCCATTTGGAATCTCGTAGGACAATTCTTTTCTGGTTTGTCAATGTTGCCCAGCCTCACTTTTCTTGACTGCAGGCTGAGATAAGTAACCTGCACTTTAGGTGTATTGTCAAGGGATAATAGAAGTAAAGGAATGCCTGTAAGGTCACAGTGCATCACCAAAGGCATCCAGGATTTCCACCCTTAAGCCACGCGAGAGGAGAGGTGATGTTATATCTGACACAGAGTTGCCTCTCTTCTCTTGGGAGTAGATGGGATGCAGGGATATTGGAAGATTTGTCATCAGTGAGCTGTATATGGGAAAAATAGTGCAATGTGTTTGAAGGTACTCCATGTGTTTCTTCAAACTAGGTAGTTGAATATCCCTGAGTTGCACACCACCTTTACTATGAACGTGGCATACCCACTAAAAACAGTATTCTTCTCCAAAACCTTCCGGGGTCACTGTACAATTGGTTAGTGTTTTTAGAGCCACATTTTCTATTAGTTTTCTCTTGTATACAACTAAATTTCAATCAGCTTCAGAAGCTGTGCTCAATAACAAACCATCAAAGCTAGATTGACGAGGTGAGTTTTGTCTTTCCTATGCCTCAGAATTAACTGAAGTCGTTCGTGGTCAATGAGAATATGTTTAATTTTTGAATGTACATAAGATTTGAAGGAGGAGATACTGCATCACTTTCACCCTTGGCAGCCAGGTTCAGAAAACACATTCAGTTGTACCATTGTACAACCAAGGCTGAGAATGGATTTCCATGAGCATACAATCCATTTTAATGATGGTGTGCAAATAAAGGCTCATGAATCTTTAAGTTATTTATTCCTTTAGCAAACATGATCCTGTATTGAGTCTTTGTGTTATAATGAATCCTATTACACATGGAAAAGCTTTAATGAGTAGAGGAGAAGTTGGACTGTATGCGGATTAATTCATGGATTCCCCAATGAATATCTGAGTGTGAAATGTTCCATTAACAGAAGGTCAGATGGTAGAGATAAACATGAACTTAAGCACCCATTGGAATTAAACACTTCGCTTTATGAACTCAGCTGAAGATTGTCCAGGTGAAGGGCACAAAGGAGAAAGGGCTGTGGAGACACTCACCTGCCTTCCCTCCAGCAAGGTCCTCTACCTGATCTCAGCTACCTCTAACAGTGGCTTGTGGACACCAGATCTTACAAGAGCTGGCTATTACATTTTTAGACATATCATGTGTCAGGTGTGGAAAAGTAGTCATTAAAAATTGAATTGCACAAACCCAGAGTTAAATATGTGTTATGAAAACCAAAGGTAAGAAGTAGTCAAAATGACCATCTTCTAATTAGGTTTCCTGTATTTGCTATCGCCTGTGGTCTGGAGGGATCTCTGTCTAGTGGAAATACTGTTTAGTGGTAGGCTATCTACCATTCCCAGTTCTGCATCCAATGATGTCAAGTTAGTAGCTGAAAGCTGGCCGTGGGGGAGTCTGTGCAACACATCACAGATCAGGGCCTGTATGTTATCAGGGAGCTGGTGGTTAAGCACCAGCACACCACTGCTTATACGAAAGTGGAGGTGGCCCTACTGTCTCCAGGTGTGTTACCAGGATGAAGTCAGAAAACGCTTACAGTTTAGAACAGTGACACTAAACATTATCCAACTGTTTACAGATCACTAAAAAGTCTATGCCAGATGCTGGTACCTTATGTCTGTAATCCTAGCTAATTTGGAGGCTGAGATCCGAGAGGATCTTGGTTTGACCAGTTGAGGCCAGAAAGTCTTTAATACTCTTACCTCGAATTAATAACTACCAAGTTGGAAGTAGAGCTGTAGCTCAGGTGGTAGAGTGCCAGCCTTGAGTGAAGAAACTAAGGTTAGTGCTCAGGCCCTGAGTTCAATCTCCAAGTGTGTGTGTGTGTGTGTGTGTGTGTGTGTGTGTGTGTGCGTGCATGGCTTTGACAACACACGGAACAAATTTCTTGTGCTAGTTGATTTGCTGGTGTCAATCCAAAGCAGGAAAGATTCCATTTTGGAGCTTCGTATGCCGGAACTCCATGGATGTTTTAGGAAGGAGAGTTACTGACAGCTCTTGGGAAGGCTGCACTGAGCCTGTGGATTGGAAAGAGCATGGCCTGTGGATCATTTCAGAGCCACAGCCCTCTGTTTCAGACAGGGGCAAACTGAGGCTCAGAGACCTAATCTTGTTCTAGCTTGAAGATCTCGAAGATGGAGACAAAGCTGTGTCAAACTGCAGAAACTTCTCCCTTTCTCAAGTGCAGTGCACCCCACTGTGTGGGCCATGGATTGATGATAGCATAGCCTGGGAACTGGTTAGAAGTGTAAACTTCTGGGCTCCATCCTGGGCTTCCTGAACCAGAAATTGATTGGTTGTCTCCCAGGAATCTGTGCTGTAACAAGTCCGGATGACCTAAAGGGAGGCAGATGAGCTGAAATGGAATGTGGAGTGCTGTGCGTGGTAAACACTTCCTTGAGGATGGAGTAAGTGTCCCTGCAGCCTTCCCCAGGGAGCCTCTTTCCTGACGAGCCTAGAAGGATCCATAATGTAGGCACTTAAAGGACTGTTGACAATTTTTTCCCTAGGCCATATGTGAGTGCCAGAAGGCCATTATTAGATGGAGACAAACCTGGTGATGCTGCTGTTGGCATGGGATGGTTACTGAGAAAGCACCAGCTCACAGAGGAGAGGCAATGCTGGAGAGCTGGGGGGCCTTGAGAGCCAGGGCTCCTGGGAAGCCGCTGCTGCCTGACTCCAGCCAATGCGTGTCAGAACTTCGGTTTTCTGAGCTACAATTCCGTGATGCAAATATGGATATTAGTGACTCTTTCAGTTTTAGAGAGGAAAGGAGCTAGATAAGGTCTTTCTATGTAGCTCAGGGTGACCTTGAATTTGAGATCTTTCCTGACTCAGGCTTCCCCTTGAATGCTGGGATTGCAGGCATGAAGCACCATGCCTGATTCAGAATTTTGAATAGCTGGCACTGGAGCCAGTGCCCGGAGTCCATGGAGGATGCCTAGAACATGGCTGAGGGTTGATGTAACCTGCAGCCACTTGTCTGTGGCTGAAGAAACACTGCTTGTCTTTAGATTTGTAGGACACTTCAAAGGATAAGTTTTAGCAGGAGCTCAGAAAGTGGAAATAAAGGTAACCAATGAGGGTAATGGCTGATGGGGTAAACTCTCTGCCTAGTAAGCTCAAGGACCTGAGTTCAATAACCAATAACCAGGTATGACTCAAGTGTTCCAGGTACGTAACCTGACCAGTATTTGCTTCATGGCCTATGGTTTGTGTGTAGCTGGCTGGATTCCATTTTGCCAACTGTGCTTAGGGTCTTCGTCATAGGGCAGATCTGCAGGACTGGCAGCTACCTCAGTCAGAGTCTACCGTAGACTCCAGGGAAAGGCAGGGGTCCCCCTGTTCTTCTGGCTTCTACTGTGCCAGAGACTGAAGTGACCTCTCATGGGGCGACCTTCTTAGAGCATCATCTTTTCGTGGGTGCGTTTATCTCTGCAGAAGAGAGCCCAGGTCAGTCCCAAGGCTGCATGTGGCTGATTTCCGGGACTCCCACCATACCGCTTCCCCATCCATATGTCTGAACGGTAACCAGATATTGTACGGAAATGGAAAAGAGAAATCTTAATCTCAAAACAGAACTGGAGAAAAAATAAAAGATATTGTTACTCTGTTTGAAAAGTAAATCACCTTGTTGTTTTCTGCATTGGATTTACAGTGTGATTCTCTTTACTCTTTTTTTCCCCCTCCTTAGTCTGCTGACCTGCAAGAAGTCATGTTCACAGCCCTCATAAAGGACAGGCCCAAGTTTGTCCGCCTCTTTCTGGAGAATGGCTTGAACCTGCAGAAGTTCCTCACTAACGAGGTTCTCACCGAGCTCTTCTCCAGCCACTTCAGCAGCCTGGTGTACCAGAACCTGCAGATTGCCAAGAATTCCTACAACGACGCTCTCCTCACGTTCGTCTGGAAGCTAGTTGCAAACTTCCGGAGAAGCTTCTGGAAGGAAGACAGAAATAGCAGGGATGAAGTGGACGTGGAGCTTCATGTGAGTAATGGTGACGGCGCTGTCCATGGGGCTAGTTTTAAGTTTTCCTGACAAAAATGTCTCTGTCTTCCTACCTCATTACCACAAAGTAGCCAAAGTGCTGCCATGATGTTTTCTCTACCGTCTTTCCTTAAAAGTGAAGTTGATGGTGAGTTTTCCAATGTCTTGCTCTCTGCTCTGTGCTGTTTTTCAAGCCAGGTGCAGTTTTTCTTGGTTGCAAAGTGTGGTGTGGCATATTTCTGAAGGCATTTGACAAGGAGCAGGAACAATCAAAGGTCATTTTGGCCTACTGAACATGATCTGTATTGTGTGTGTGTGTGTGCACAAACGCACTGGTTCTGGGGTTTGAACTCAGGGCCTGGCACTGTTCTGAGCTTTTTAGCTCAAGGCCTGTGCTTTGATTCACAGCTCCACTTCTAGGTTTTTAGTGATTAATTGGAGATCAGAGTCTCATGGACTTACTTTCCAGGACTATCTTTGAACTGTGATCCTCAGATCTCAGTCTCCTGAGTAGGGGCAACCAGTACCTGGCTATGATCTTCTTTTTAAAGTAATAGCTCCTTTCTTTCTTTCTTACTTTTTTTTTTTGTTGGTTATGGGGCTTGAACTCTGGGCTTGGGCACAATTCCTGTGCTCTTCAGCTCAAGGTGAGCACTCTACCGCTTGAGTCACAGTGCCACTTCCGTAATAGCTCCTTTCTGTCCATGTAAAGGACTGAAGAGCTCCCAAATGCCCTTCTCTGCATGAAAGGGAAGGTGGAATCCTGGTATCCATCCGAGGAGATACTGTGGATGTACCCCTCCACACTCCCATTGCTTTGGGCCTTCCATTTTACATAAAGGCAGGTCTACTTTACAACAGCTGGCATCAGCAATTATTTACTAATGCTCTTTCTGATCAGGGGCTGGTGTACAAGCACCTCAGTCTTTCTTGAGGTAGTGGAGATAACTGAATATGTATTCTCCACTAGCTCCCAGAGTTGCCTAGTGAACTTGATTTCCTGTTACCCACTGTGGCAACTTATTTGATAGCATACCTTTTATTGATTTTTTTCTTTTCTGATCTCATTTCTTCACTATTTTATTGGTTTTTTTCTGGGATCAATTTCTGAATAAACTACTTACCTCAAATTTTTATTTTAATGTTGCTTCTGTGAAACCCAAATTAGGTCATTGTTTTTTGTAATTTCAAGCTTTTAGTGTGTGTATGTTTGTGCTTGTGCATATCAAAAATCTAAGTGATTTACATATTTGCAGGCAGTGTTTAGTTTCTAGTTGATACTATGTAAGGTAAAATGTACTGAAAAGCCTACAAAAAAGTAGAGAAAGAATATATACATTTCATCATTTTCTATTTGAAAGTATTTCATTGACAGATACAGAATCATGAATAAGAGCTGGGACTCAAATTGATATATCCAATTCAAATGTTTGAATGATAGTCCTAAGAAAATAAGCACATTCTGATCATCAAGCTTACACCACAGGAAACCTAGATATTTAATTTGAATGATTTTTTTTGAGAACAGATTTATATGATGAGATAGAATTGCTTTTTCTTTGGCCTGTCAGAGCCATTCCATTTAAAAATTGCTCTCAGCACATTTTTCCCACCCTTTATGCTTTCCTGTCTAGTTACACTTTGTCTTTTGTGATAGATGAAAGATTGTGTGCTCAATTTTACCATCTGGTGGGTTGCAGAGATGAAAATCACATCCTGGTGGTTTTGGATTCATATACAAAGCTACAAAGCCCTCCACATATGGGGCATTCTCCTTGGCCTTCTTGACTCTATTTCATTGTTAGAATAAGGAACCTAACTCGCTTTCCGTTTACACATGGTGATCCCATCCTCTGACCTCTTCCAGGATGTGTCTTTCACTACTCGACACCCCCTGCAAGCTCTCTTTATCTGGGCCATTCTTCAGAACAAAAAGGAGCTCTCCAAAGTCATCTGGGAACAGGTATATGTCCAGATGATGGCTGGATTTCTAAGCAATGCATGCTTGTTTTTTGGAACAGGTTTGAATCTCTCAAAACTTTCATGCCTAATCTAAGGCATCAGCAATGAAATGGTTCATCTGGTGGGGATGGGTATGGCTGTGCCTCTGTTTGCATGTCATGCAGATGTGTCTGCAAGGAGCTGTCCTGAGGAAGGAGCCATCCCTGGGAGTCCTTGGTACCAGGCTCCAACTCTCAGGTGTGTGTGAGGGTGTGATTGCTTCCCAAGTGCATGAGGCATTCAAATTTCATTTAAAAATTCATTTCTAAGAGCTTGCTAAGCCTGCACAAGGCCCTAGTTCCAACCTCCAGTGCTACAAAACAAAAAATTGTAAAAATAGTATCTACCTTTATTACAATACAAATAAGGAAACTACCTGTAAAATTTTTGCTTTGGCTCTTAGAGGGCTTACTTTTTTTTTAAGTTCTCTCCTCTTTATATTTTGGATATTAGGCCATTGTCTAATGTGTAGTTGGCAAAAATCTCCCATTCTGTAGGCTGTCTTTTTAGCTTGTTGCCTATGTCCTTTACCATGCAGAAACTTTTTAGTTTGATGCAGTTCCATTTATAAAGTCTTTCTTTGATTTGCTGTGCTTCTGGATCTTTTTGCAGAAAGTTTCTGCTTGTGAGAAGAGGTTTTTAATATTTCTCCTACTCTTTACTGTAATGGTTTCATGGTTTCAGGTCTTACATTGAGGTCTTTAATCCATTCTGAAGTGATGTTGGTACAAAGTGATAGGTAAGAGTCCAGTATCAGTTTTCTGCATGAGGATATCCAGTTTGGGCAGCAGCATTTGTTGAAGAGTCTGTCTTTCTTCCAGCCTATGTTTGTGGCTCCCTCACAGAATGTTAAATAGCAGTAGGTCTGGGGGTCTATTTCTGGGTCTTCTGTTCTCTTCCTTTGGTATTCAGGCCTGTTTTTATGCCAGTTCCAGTTGTTTTCATGGCTATGGCTTTGTCATAGAGTTTGACGTTTGGTATTGTTGTTCTTCAAGCACTATTCTACCTGCTAGGATCACTTTTGCTGTTTGGGATCTTTCGGATATTGTTGAACTGAGACAGAAATCCCTGCTATGTTCTTATCCAGCTTCTCCCAGGGAAGATATGGGAAGCCATACTTCCCATGGTCACAGTCATGATGCCAGTTTCTCATGCTGTTTGTTAAGGTGTATGTGTGTATGTGTGTGTGTTGGTACTGGGGCTCCAACTTAGGGCCTTGTGCTCTCACTTGAGGTTTGGTGCTCTATGATTTGAACCACCTCCTCTACTTCTGGCTTTTTTGTTGGTTAATTGGATATAAGAATCTCAGAGAGTTTTCTGCACTGACTTTGAACTGTGATCCTCAGATCTCAGCCTCCTGAATAGTTAGGATTATAGGCATAAGCCACTGGTGCCTGGAGATATATTTTCTTTTTCTGTGTTAATCCTATGCTCCAGACCACAAGCATATATATTGGGTTTGAAGCTATTGTTGTGCTAATGTCAAATTTTACTTTGAATCATTAGCAGTAGTTGGGATGGTACCATTTCCTGCTTGTCCTGCCAGTTTATCCTTTCCGATGCTCATGTCTACACGGCCACTTAAAGAAATTTTGAATTAACCTAAAATTCTCCACCCCAACCCCCATGAAAAGACCCGAGGCTGTACTCTGGCAGCTCTAGGAGCCAGCAAGCTTCTGAAGACCCTGGCCAAAGTAAAGAATGACATCAATGCTGCTGGGGAGTCTGAGGAGCTGGCCAATGAGTATGAGACCCGTGCAGTAGGTAAGTCTCCCGGGACTGGGGTGTCGTGGTGTGTGGGGGTCTGTTGTGTGGGAGGTTCTTGCTGGTGGCAATCGTAGGCCAGGTGGCTGAGGTGAATGTGTGTGTGAGCTCTTCTTCTGTCCCAGTGGAAGACACTGTGGATCTCTCAGCCAAGTGTATATATACTGTGCCCGGGCATTTTGCTTCTGGTGCTGACTGACTTTCCCAAGAATGAATATGAGCATCCTGGGCTGTGTCTTCTCCACGTAGGGCCAGTTAGGGCCACACTCAGGCTTAGGTCTAAGGAACTCAGCACTTCGGGGAGTTTGGGATGGGTTTCAGGATGTTATTAAGACCTGTGACAGCTTAGATCTTACTTGATTTGTAAGCTCACAAGTAAGCCAGCTATTACCAGCCCCCCCCACCATAACCCCTCCCCCCCACAACTTCTGATGCATCATCTGGGACATAGTTGGCTTATAGCTGATGGGAGGGGCAGCAGCTGGGTTCCCATGTTTTCGTATCCCATTGGCAATACTGGAACTAGTTGGTATTGCTTCCCTGGAGCTCCCTGAAGTTAGGGATCTCGGATCTTCCATCCGAGCTGCAGGTCAGGTCACTCACTACCTGAATGGAAGAAGAGAGAGGGTTGGTGAAGCCTCACTCTCCTGGGAAGTCGCTGGAGGGACACATGGGGTGGCTGGTATTGCTGTTCCATCCATGGTTGAAGCTGATCAGTGCCATTTTATGCAGAAAACCAGGTCATTAGGGCATGCTTTCAACTTGTTTGGGGTTTTCCCTTTGAACGTGACAGGTTTAAGTTGGTAGTATGGTAATTGTCATGTGTTTGACTATTGTGTTACCTGATAGAAAAAATACCCACACTTTTAGTTTCACAGTAAAATAGAAGCATGCAATTATTTCTTTAAATCTTTTAAAGTTTCAAAGATATGATCTTTCTTTCCTTCCTTCTTCTTTCTTTCTTTCTTTTTTGTCAGTCATGGGGCTTGAACTTTGGATCTGGGTGCTGTCCCTCAGCTCTTTAGCTCAAGGCGAACACTCTACCACTTGAGCCACAGCACCACTTCTGGGTTCCTGGTGGTTTATTGGAGATGAGTCTCACAGATTTTCCTGCTTGGGCTGGCTTTGAACATTGATCCTCAGATCTCAGTCTCCTTAGCAGCTATGATTACCAGTGACTAGCTATAATGTTTATTTCTGAATGACTTCAGTTAAGCAATGGTTTTGAATATCTTGACTTTTGAAAATTTCCTCTCAGAGCCAGGTGCTGGTGGCTCATGCCTGTTATCCTAGATACCTAGGAGACAGACTGAGGACTGTAGTTCAAAGCCAGCTTGGGCAGAAAAGTACTTGAAACTCTTATTTCCAATTAACCAGCAAAAAGCCAGAAGTAGAGCTGTGGATCAAGTGGTAGAGGGCCAGCCTTGATCCAGAAAGCTAAGTGAAAGCATGAGGTCCTGAGTTCAAGCCCCAGAGCTGGCACTAAAAAAAAATGATTCCTTCAAGCAACTGCACTTCAATGTCTTTTCATTAGGTCTTGGAATACAAGAACTCCCTAGTGCAATAGGTTCCTAAGTCTTCTACTACTATGTATGTATGTATGTATTTATTTATTTTTATTGTGAGAATACCATACAGAGGAGTTACAATTACATGGGCAAGAAAACGAGTACATTTCTTTCTTTCTCTTTCTTTCTTTCTTTCTTTTTTTGGGTCCTGTCGTGGGCCCTGAACTCTGAGCCTGGGCGCTGTCCCTCAGCTCTTCAGCTCAAGGCTAGAGCTCTACCACTTGAGCCACAGCGCCACTTCCGGCTTTTTTTCTTTTTGCTTATGTGGTGCTGGGGAATCTAACCCAGGGCCTCATGTATGCAAGGCAAGCGCTCTACCACTGAGCCACCTTCCCAGCCCTGAAGCCTATACATTTAAAG